CAAGCCGGCTGCTAGCAACCAGCGGAACCACAACCCAGCCAGCGCTGCAGACGCGTCACTTCCGCTGTGCCATTCAGCGCGTGAGCAAAGTCGTCGGCCGTTCTTGATGATGCTCGCTGGTGACGTCATCGCACCTCTGCGGTGGGAGGGGGGACGCAGAAGTGCGCGTGCGCTCGAGGCAGCGGGCAGGCGGGCGGGCTGTGGCCACGCCCTCTCCCCTGGGCTGCGCGGCACAGGCCGGCGGCTGCTGGTGGGGGGAGGGTTCGGGGCCCAGCTCGGCACCTCAGAGCCGCTCGCACCCGTGTGCTGGTGTTGCCTTCACCCTGCACCCCTCTCGCCTGGGGACACTGCGGCCTAGAGGGAAAATCAACTGGTGGCGTCTGAAATGTTAAAACAGCAGCAGGCAGACAAGGTTCTTTAGGTGAATCTGATACCTTTTATTAGACCAGCTAAAGTGTTGGAGAACAATATTACAACCTGCACCCCTAAAACAGCAGTGACACTTCAGAGGCTGCCACTCTCGCACCTCAACACCTGCCCCTGCCCTTTTGCCCCAGGAGCTGTGCGATGGCAGCTTGTGCCTCCTATGGTGGCGGGGCCAGCGCGCAGCTCCTGGGGCAAAGGCAGCAGGGTGCAGACCCCAGCCCGCCTCCGCCCTGCGCACAAACCAGGCGGGGGCGGCCTGGTTGAATCCAATTTATACAGTAGTCCCATGGGGGTTTCTTTTAAATGTAATACTAGTAATGTGCATCTCCCTTCCTGCGTACAGTAGATCAGTCATTAATGCCATTACAACATGACATTCGAATGGAATTGGCAACCCTAGCATGTGCCCCCCCCCCAGGAGTGCGCGCAGTGGCACCGCACCTCCCACACCTCTGGATGAGCTCCCCCCCCCGCTGTCGTTCGACCTGCCTTGGCCCCAGAGCCCCTGCCCCACCTCCCCCCGCATGGAGGCCTCAATCTGCCTTCCCAGGTCCCTTTCCTCTCCCCCCGCCCCTTCCCCTCCACCTGTTGGGCGCTGCTCGACCTGCCCCAAAAGAAAAAATCCTGAGATTTAAGGGCTCTATCCTGAGGTCATGAGTCAGAGTTAATTTGACTTAGAAATCACAAGTCTCACGATTTTTTTCACGAGAGTTGGCATTACTGTCGGTCTTGCTGTTAAATGGCTAGGTTTATGAAAATAACATTTATTCTGATAATTTTAGGCAATATGAACAACTTAGTTTGTGAAATCTACCCTTACCATCTCTGGAGAAGATTTTTTTTTCCCCATGGTTGGGCAACTATAGTAAACTTTCATACAGTTGTGGAAATCAAATTAAATGTGATTTAAAAACATTTAACACCCATAAAATGGTTTTGGCGCTCTCTAGATAACACCCTTCCATCAAATGTTGCACCCTGGCTCAGCTCTAGCAGGCGCCGAGCTGTTGAGAGCGAACTCTTTTGTATATGACAAAACCCACATTCCATGGTCGTGGAATATTCTTAACAGTCTGATTTTTCATAGAAGTAGAAATGTTAACCTCATCATTCTCCTCTCTAAATACTTCTGCGAACCAGTATCAGTTGTGGTATATATTGCAATGTTTTCTGGTCAGATATGCTTACCTTCATACTAGTTCTGTTCATGTTTGATCCATATTTTTAAGGTATTAGCAACCTGAAAAATGTATCTGGAGTGAATATTGATGGTGCAATGACATAGGCACCACAACAATGCCATGTAATAACTGTCTTGCAGGAAGAGGTGGTGATGTTATTTGTCACCTGGCTTCTTGAAATGGCCATTATTGTAATTAAAAGGGAACAAGTAGTATCTAATGTTATTCTCTGACTTATTGTTCAATATAAATCTTATGAAGTTACTCAGGGCACTTTTCCACGTGCTCCGGAGGTGAGGAGGCAGCGCTTTAATTAGAGAAGCTCCAAGTACTCTAATTAAAACACCGCTGCGTCTTGTGTATCAGCATTCTCACACTTAAAAATGATAGCAGGGACGCTTGAACTTAGGGTGCAGACAGAACTGACATTTCTTTTTTGCCTCATCTGGCCACAGAAAGCAGTTTATAGCTGTGGCCAAACACAAGCACACAGCTGCAAAGAGCTTCAAAGATGGCTAACTGGGAGAAAATCTGACCCTCATTGCATGAGATCTTTCAAAATGTGGCATCTTCTGTAACTTGTGTCTGCCCAACTCCCAGCCTGTCACTGTTTTTAGAAGCGGAGCGGTGAGGAGCAGGGAGAGAGGAAGGGAGCAGAGGGAGGTCAGTCTGGGGGGGTTTCAGCTCTTCCAAAGGGCGAGGCGGGAGTATTGGAGCCCCCCCCGGTGAAGGAGGCTCCAATTCAGCCACCCCGCCCTTCAGCACTGGCTGGGGAGCCCCAAAAATGAGCTCTCTCCGCAGCCTTTCCCCCTCCCATTCTGAAAACAGCAAGCACTGCAGAGAGCTTGACTATTGCTATAGGAACCTGGCTGCAGGTTCATGGCCCACAGCTAGATTCCCTTCCCCCCAGAACAAACAGTGAACTTCTGTTTGGTCTGAGGTAACAAAGCGCTTTGCAGAAATCTTTCTGTTACATCTGGGAGCAGCACTTCTGTCTGCAATCTAAAGCTTGTTCAACAAGATGCAGGAAGCTGCTAGAGTGTAGCAATTGCCACGCTCCAGTGACTCGATTAATTGAGTCTGCTCCAATACACTGGAATTCCAGTGCATTGGAGAAAACTCACAGCTCTTCTATAGACACTCGGATCCGTGCTCAGGCTGAGTGCTTCTATTATTAGATTATTTCATATTATGTATACATTTAAATAATTACAAGTTCTGGATGTTCTCTGTTAATTACTGATTTTGTCTAAGTTCTCTGAAGTGTTAAATACAGTCTTTTAGTTCTAGTGAATTTATCAGTTGAGTTATTAAGACTTTCATTGGTAATTAATACTCCTTTTGTTACCTTGAGTACCACGGTGATGCTCTAAATGGTGCTTGAATCTCATTTTTCTGTATCATTTTTTGCCTTTCCTTCTTTACTGTCAACCTACCATCACTTCAGAGCGCATGTCTTTTTGCATTAGTTTAAATGTTGCTGGCATTTAGATCTCTAAGTACTGATTATCTGTTGCACTAGTTTTCAAACTTCTTTCACGTTAAGAACAACATTTTTGACAGTTACTCTCATGGAATAATTCCCCTCAAAGTTCCAGTCCTACAGTTTACCTGCTGAGCTAGTCAAACACCAATTCCAGTAATTGATTACATAAAATAAGATGCTTCTGTGGCAGTCTTGCTGGTAGCAGCCCAGCTTGCTGGCTTGAGCCAGAGGGCTCAGAGCAATTGGTGAGGGCATTTCCCTTCCCTATGAATCAGGAAAGGGAAGGAGAAAGCCTTGCCCTTCCCAACCTAGGGGTCAGGTGAAAAGCAGGACTAGAGGGGGAACTAACCCCTCAGGCTTTTCTATTGATCCACTCCCACTCCAGGGGTGGAATCTTCTGAAGGAATAAAAAGGCAGCATGCCCAGCAAATGGGCGGCTTTGACGAGGGATGATGAAGCAGCTCGGGTCCCCAACCCTGCACGAGGCAGGGGTAGAAGCCCTCAGTGCACAGACCGGTGCACAGGGCTGGAGAGCCAGTGCACAGAGAGTCCAGGAGCAGACAGGACCACAGCAGCTGCATGAGGCAGCACAGGTCCCCAGACCTGCACAAGGTGGGAGCAATGTCATCAGTGCAGTGCACAGGGCCATAGTGGTGCACAGGGCCATAGAACAGAAGGGATGCCAAGGACTGTCCTATGCAGCTCGGGTTCCCATCCATACCTGCATGGGGCAGGTGTCCCTTCAGCGCATAGGGCGGAGGGCAGCCTGACAGGCCAGGAGAGCCACACAAGCCCAGCTCAGGCCTTTCCACAGAGAGAGGGGATGCCATGCACCTCCAACACACACCACTGGAGACCAGTCCAACCCTTTCAAGCCGGAGGGAATCGTGAGTCACTCGAGAAGGGGATTCCCACAAGGGAGGAGGGCTCTTCCACGCTACGGGGGGGGGCTGAAGGGAAGCCCCTGACGGGAGGGGACAATTAGCCTTGGGACCTAAAGAGGGATCCAGGGCTCCTGTTTGGTATTGGAAGTTCCCTAGTTTGGGGCTTTGGCGGCTGGGGCCGCTCACAGGTTGGAGGCATTGGAAACAGACCCCGATGCTCCTGAAGGCAGACCCAGGGGCCTCGGCACCATGAAGAACTTATCCAGGAGGGAGCCGGAGGCAGGGGTTGGAGCCGCTTGAGCCAGTACTGCGCTAGCTTTTCAGATATCTATCAATCAGACTGGGCAGCGGCCGGCTAATGACATCATCTACGACCACTGCCACAGGAGATTTAAACACCCCAACAGAAACCAGGTACAGCGGGAACAAATGGCATGATACGCCAAGCTCACCAGGGTGTATCCCAGCCAGCGTGGGTTCGTTCATGATGATGACCCACCGGAGGTGAGCGGGAGCAGTGTAAGGGAGCCAGAACAGGCTTCCCATGCACAGCTCCCCAAGAAGGGTTTCTGGGCTCGGTTGCCATCCTGTGAGTTCTGGATTGTTATAGCCATCCTTGAACCCATGGAGGGGACAGCAGTTCCAGGTCTGGCCAAGGGATGGAGCAGGGTCAAGGATTAGGGACAAGTGCCAGGCTGCAACTACAAGCCTGCACTTCCTACTTAGGCTGATGGGGTTGAGGCCTGACGAGAGGCCATAAGAAGCCAGAGCCTGTAATTGGGAACGGTGGCACAACAGCCTGCGTGGTTGGTGAGTGGAATGGGGTGTAGGGGAGGTAGAGCCCAAGGATCAATCGCACCTTT